GGGGGCGGGAAGGGGGGAGGTCACCAGAAAAGAGGTTTCTCTTCGACTCCCAGCGTCCTTCCCCAGCGCCGAGGTGACCCTGGTTAAAGGACTTGGCTGCTTAGGGCGACGGCGCCCTCTGCTGGTCTTGGGAGCCTGGGATTCCCCATGCCCGGGAGAGAGACGCAGAGCGCGGGGCTTGGGGGCGGCATGTGCCCTACAGGGACTGTTCCTAGTAAGTAAAGAATAAGAGATCCTAACCACAGCAACCCGTCCCTCTAGCTCACTAAGGGAAAATCACGAACATATATAGCAGAGTGGTTAAACCTCCTGTTCTAAATGCGGTCTCCTAGGCTTGAATCTGGCTGTATGACTGGGCCAACAACTTGAGTTCTCTGGACTTCATCTGTAAAAATACGGATAATATTAGTACCTTCCCCATGGGACGGCTGTGAGGATTATGAAATAGCACAATACCTCATACAGAGTTAATAACTCAAATGATAGCTATAATCAAAAAATATGCAGGCACCGTCTTCAGAGTCAAAAGTCGGTGGGTGGCGCATATGGTTACAAGCTTGGCCACTAACCTAAAGGTAGGCGGTTTGAATCCACCCAGAGCACCTCAGAAGAAAGGCCTGGCAATCTACTTCCAAACGATCACAGCCATTGAAAACCCTATGAAGTGCAGTTTTCAGAGAAAACTCAGAGAAACACATGGGGTCGCCGCTGAGTCGCAATCAAATCAGCGACCGGTTTGGTTTATGGTTTTGGTCTTATGAGTCAGTCTGGGGCTGGGAACCAGCTGTGTGATCCCAGGCAAGCCAGCCTCTCTGGTGCTCACTTTCTTTTCATAAAAGAGTAGGTTAAATACTCAAATCAAGAGTCCTTTCTAGAACCCCGGAAAGCGTGGCCCCTGGATTCTCTATCAGCCCAGAACTAAAACAATTTCCGAGGCCAACTCTTCAGACGGAGATTGGACTGGACTGTGGGACATGAAGTGACACTCGCCAGGAGTGTGCCTCTTAGCTCAAGTAGACACGAGAGACTAAACGGGCAGCTTCTGTCCGGAGGTGAGATGAGAAGTCAGAGAAGGTTAGGAGCTGGTTGAATGGACATGGGGAATCAGGGGTGGAAAGGAGGAGTGTGCTGTCACAGTATGGGGAGAACAATTAGGGTCACATAACAATGTATGTACAAATTTTTGTATGGGAGACTAACTTGAAATGTAAACTTCATTTAAACTACAACAATTAAACAAACAAACAAACAAAAAAAACTCAGACCGAAAAAAAAAAAAGAATCTTTTCTAGTTATAACCTATGGTTTTAGACCAGCCTCTGAGACCTTCTGGAATCTGACCGATTCTGGGCTGAACTGGGATGCTGTCAAAGGCACCCCATGGAAGGCCACTCAATCGTATGAGACGGCCTCTGGCTACAGCTGGTTGAAAACCACCGGTGGACACCATCTTGGGAGCCATCCTCTGCAAACTATCCCCTTGGGCTGCTCTTTAAAATGCCTTCTTAGTCTCAGGGTTTCCTTCCTCATCTTTCTCACAGGAGGCCCTTATAGTCCCTTCCTAATGGGTTTAAGTGTAGGGATAATGAAGAAAAAGAAAACATGCTTGACAAACCCCATCCTCCTCGTCCGAAGCCCTAACACACCTTCTCTGCTTCCCTAACTCATTTTCTATGGCGTTCTCACAGCCTCGCTGAGACTCTCCAACGCCCGGGTGAGCCCTCACATCCTGTAGGTGGAGCCTCTCGCTTTGTTTCCACACAGTTCATCTGGTCAGGCTTAGAGGTTACTGGTCCTCTCTGAACCTGCACGGACTGTGGGCCTCCAACATTGAGGGGGTTGGGGGAATAGGTGTCTGGGGGTCCTCACAAGGAGCCAGGGAAGCTGCTGGACATGTGCAAATGTTCTGCATCAGCCCACTAGTGACATAATGTCCTGCTTTTCAAACACCTGGGAAAGTCAGTTTCAGGTGAGTTCATTTTCATGGTGATGTCATCACACAAGAGTATAGGATCATTGTTCTCAGCCTTGGCTGCGCACAGCAATCACCTGGGTATTTAAAAATACCGATGCCTCGGTTCTACCCCCAGGGAGTCTGATCTAATTGGTCCAGAGTACAGTATACGGTTGGGGTTGAAAAACTCCCCTGGTGATTCTGCTCAGATAAGATTGAGAATCACTAGTTTAGGAAGTGAAGATCTGCAGGGCGTCTAAAGACTCAAATAGTGCGAATATCAGATACATTATACTTATTAGGGAAGGGGCTGGAACCAAAGAGGAAATGGGTCCCTCAATTGCCATCAGACTGCTTAGGAGGAATAACAACAAAAATTCAAAATAAAACCATCAGGTAGGCTACTACCTGAATTACAACCTTTTAGGCTAAGAAGAGGAAGAAAGGCCTGGTGATCTCCTTTGGAAAAATCAGCCAATGAAAACCCAATGGCTCACAATGGTACGATCCCATTGTGCATGGGGTCACCATGAGTCAAGGCAACTCAATGACAGCTAAGACATATACACACAGGCTAGGAAGAGCCCACTTCTGGCCTAGGATTTGTAAAGTATGTTGGTAAATGAGTAGAAGACAAGATTAATAGAAAAATGTTTTTACACTGGTGAGTACTGACAGTGAACTGACCTAATCCGTAATGTAATACAATTCTACTTCAGGAAGTTGATGTCTCTCCCACCCTTCCCCTTTCTCTAGTGACAGTTGTCTCCTCCTCCTTGAGTCTTGACTATTTTTACTATTCAGGAATCACTCTAAATATAATATTTCTCTACAAACTTCTTCAACATCCTTACAGGTTTCAAATAACTTCAAGTGTCTCAAAGGGGAAGAGTATCAGTATACTGCCAAAAAAGTACAGCCCATCTAGGGAGTTTTCCAGAGGAAAAAAGAACCGTAACTCAGTTCAAGAACCTCCGTCCCCTGCTCTTTTCCCCTTTTGCCCCACCCCATTCCAACACTCCCTTAAACAAGACTTTTCAATAAAGATATGATAGTGCTACATAGTTACTATAATTATTATCTTTTTTTTTTTTCCCTTAAGAATTGTGGTAGCATTTTTCTCCTTCTCTTGCCTTCAGTCTCACTGGGCTATTTTCAAATTCTCTGCATTCTTTTCCTTATAAGGAATATCTCTCCTTGATCTATCAGCGGCTCTTTTGAAAAAAGAGAAATAAGCGTCCTGCTGGAGAATTTAGGCGAGACAGGCATCCCCCATCTAGCCATCTATAAAGCAGACATCTGATCTACATTATACAAAACAAGCACAGGATTATACCTGTTCTGGGGTTTTTTTTTCTAAAGCCAGGTAGTTTATAACTGTTTTAGCTAAATCAGTGCTTCCCCAAGCCCCCTTTTCCGGTAACCTTTTTACTGAGAATTTCTTTTTGTCAAATTTTAAGTGTCGTATACCTGGATTTCTCATTTACAAAGAACACCCAGAGATACGCTTCAACCTTTTCATGCCACAAACAACCTTTATGATTTCAAGACCCTAGACCCTTGGGTAATTTGCATTTTACTCTCCTACAAAAAAAATTCCACACTTGCACTCGAAGTGGATCAACTTCTGGACACAGCTTTCTGAGCTCATAAGTTCTTGGGACTGTTACCAATTTCCCGGGGAATTCTTTCCTAATTGAGCCTCTAGTCTTAATTGGCTTCTAGAGTGGAAGCTAACAGGTGTGAAAAGAAGTCTGTCCTTTGGAAATCTAATGCGTGGCTTGATTTTACGTGGCAGACGAAGCAAGCGCTTCAGTTAAAAGATTCCAGAGGGCACTGAACAAAGTGCTTGGCTGAGCTTTTGCAGTGCGTGCATCACCCCTGAAACTATGTGGGGGTTGTCAGAGGTTGACAGGTGGGGGTGGGGTGAGCAGGAGGGGCAGGGGGCAGCTCGCTCCCTATACCATATAAAGCACTGAGCTATATATAACTCCCAGCTTACTTTCTGGATCCAGTGCCCTCAGACTGCAGACCCAAGCAAGTATCATCTTCCCAGGCAGGTCTTAAGGGCTGGATTAAGGCTTCCTTAGGAGCCCTGGTGGCACAGTGGTTAAGAACTCGGCTACTAACCAAAAGGCAGGCAGTTTGAATCTACCAGCCACTTCTTGGAAACCCCATGGGGCAGTTCTACTCTGTTGAATAGGGTGGCTATGAGTTGGAATCCACTCGACGACAGCGGGTTGCTTTTGGTTAGTGAGATAGAAGGCCTCAAGTCTCCTGGCTCCACCAGCAAGCTCAGCCTTCTAAGTAAAAGTACTGCCACGCCACGACTATAGTTTAGAGGCCAGGCCCTCTGTTCCCTGACTAGACCCACCACCTCAAACCGGGCCTTCGCAGCCCCCAGCGATGGCAAAGGAAAAAAAGTGAAGGAAACCAGGCTTTCTCTGTGTGCGCAAACCTTGGCGATGACACCTCAGGGGTTTTCTGCCACCAGGGAGGCAAGGTCCACCTCCAGAGTCCAATTTTAGCTGCTCTAGTCTCCCAGCGTCTCCACCCACCCACCTCCACCCCCAGGCGGGGAAAGTAGAGGGAGAAGAAGAAAGGCAGCGAGGATGAAATCTAAATGTGTGTGCTGAAGCAGTCGGAGGCGGCATCCATGCTCTGGGCCACGGCAGGGATGTGTGCAGGTGTCCAGCAGGAAGAGGTGCCCCTCCTCCATTGCTCTCCGGCCCCTGTGGTGCCCCTGGGTGGCCACAAGGGCAGGAGGTGAGGGAGGCAGTGTTTCGTGCACTTACGTCCGTGGCCTTTTTCTCAGCCAGCTCCAGCTTCTCTTGGGCATCTTTGAGAGCCTCGGAGTATTTGTCCAGTTCATCTTCAGTGCCCTTGAGTTTCTTTTGCAGCGCTACCAGCTCATCTTCCAGCTGGGAGTTGGCCGTGGGGGACGGGGAGGGGGGTGCAGCAGGCAGCGTGACGCAGGGGAGTGGTGTGGGTGCACAGAACCAGAAGGACAGGGACAGTGGGAAAGAGAGAGACGGGGCGGGGGGAGACAGGGAGGGGGAGAGAGCGAGAGAGAGAGACAGAGAGAGAGAGAGAGACAGAGTTAGCCTTTCGTGCGCCGTGCCGCGCCGCGCGCCCTGGGTACCTTGGCGGCGGCCTCGTCGGCGGCCAGGAGGCTGTCCTCTGCCTTGTGCATCTCCTCCAGCACCCGGTCCCGCTCGTCCTCCGACACCCGCAGCAGCTTCTCCTTGGCTGCGATGTCCTCCTCGAGCTGGTGGCAGCGGCGGGCGGGCGCGGGCGGCCGGCACGGACCGGGTGTTAGACACACAACACACGCGCGCCGGGTCAGGTGGGGCCGCTCGGGCTTGGGGCGCCGGCGAGTTGGGGCTCAGGGGACCCTAGGTAACCTCCTCTCGCTCCAGCTGGAGCCGCGCGCTGGCCCACCCCAGCACTCCCACCTCCCCCGGGGCGAGGCTCCTGCGAGGTCTCAGCGGGCTCGAGTCTACAACTTGGGGGCGCAGAAAAACGCCCGTCTCCCTGGCTCCGGACCGTCTCCTCCATTCTGTCCCATCTTTGTTCTTTGGAAACGACTCCACGACCCCCTCTTCTTCCCCCGAGTCTCCATCCCAGTTCAAGTTCCTCTAGTCCCCAGTCAAGAGTCCAGAAGAACTTCTAACACTTTCAGGACCTGACCTTCCCCCTTTCCCTCCCTCCCCCGCCCTTGCAACGCCTCGGGCCCGGGTCACCCTCCCCTGGCCCCCATCCAAGAGCTCCCCACTCCTGCGACTCAATGGCCTCCAGGACTGGAATTTACTTCGCGGCGACGGGAACGAGAGAAAGGACTAAAAAGTTAGAGTAAGGCCGAGCCTTGCTCTGCCCTTCTCCCTTCCCAGACGCGCGCCCCGGACCGCCCCGGGGTCTCCCGGTCTTGGGGTCGGCAGGAAGGAGGCGCCGCCGGGTGCTGGGGCGCGGGCAGCGGGGAGGCGCAAACCTGCTTGCTCCGGTCCTCCGCTGCCTTCTTATCCGCCTCCGCCTGCTCGGCTCGATCCAAGGCGTTCTCCTTGTCGAGCTTCAGCATCTGCATCTTCTTCTTGATGGCGTCCATGGTGGCGGCGGTGAGGGGCCCCGGGGCTGCGGCGGGACAGGGGGCGAGGCGAACGCGCGGTCCGGCGGCCGAGGCGGAGTGCGAGCGCCGAGCCGCCGGCTGCTCCCAGATATGTACTTTCCCAAGGGGGCGACCGCATTCCTCAAGACAGCCAATACTTTTTTGGAAAAGCTTTTTTCTCCGGCCCCTTTTCGCCCTCGCCTCCCTCCGCCCCTGCGCCCTCCCCTCTCCTCCCGCGGGGGCCGAGCGCCCATTCGCTGCCGCCTGCCGGCCTCCGGGTTGACGGTGTATATGACTATATATGGGGACCGGAGCCGCCGAGGCGGCAGGGCGAGGCCGCCCTGCTTCCAAACCTGCGCGCCAGGGAGAAGGCTCGGGGCCTCGCTGGGGCCGAGCCGGCCCTCACCTCTGCCCTCTGCCCTCCGCGCCCAGTCCTCCCCGGGTCCCCAGGCGAGCCCGCCCTGAGCGACGGGAGCGGGGGAGCGAGCCAGACAGTGGGTGCGCGTCGCCCGCTGAGCCGCCAGACCCTGGCGCCCTCGGCATAAGGCTCCCGGGGCCCCAGCAGTCGCCGCAGCCCGCGCCCAGGCCTGCGCGCTCCGGGCACCGACCTAGCGCCTCCCCGGCAGCTCTCAGCCCGCCGGGTGTCGTCCAGGGCGCTCACGGTCTGGAAACTCCGCTGGAGCGGAGAAAGGGAGAGCTGGGAGAAAGGCGGGGGAGCCGTGGCTAAGACTCTGTCTGCTGGTGCGCGTCAGAAACCCGGCGACACAATGATAGCACAGGGAATGTCTTCTGCGTGCCCTTCTGCCCGACGAGAGAGAAAGTCGAATACTTTAGGGGCACAGGACCCAGCTGGTTGGCTTAGGGGTGTGTGTGTGTGTGTTGAAGGCGGTAGTGGGAGTTGAAGGCGAACGTTGAGTTTAGACACAGGCAACTTGGTCTCTACTCTGTCACCAGCAGCTCTGTGAGCTTGATAAATAACCCAGCCTTTATGCTGCAGTTTCTTCATCTTTCAATCCTGGGGGTAGGTGACCCCTGAGGTCCCTCCAGATCTACCTTTTTATCATTTTTCATGCACTGATTTTAAGGAGTTGGCCTCTTTCCATGCTCAGGAGCCAGGCTGCCAAAAATGTGGGGTAAATGTCACCCCCGCTAAGTCATTGTATCCACAGCCCCAACTCCGAGGAGGGAATAGGCCCAGCTCAGCCTGTGAGCTCTGCTTGGAGGCAGAAGGACCTCCCCTTCCCCTCGTTGTTTCTAACTCCTCCCAGTCGGCCCTTCAGACTTCGTTTGTGAAAGGGGGGCTGCCCGAGGCCCCGCCTGAGACCTGGCTGAGGCAGAGCAGGTGAGGGTCTTGTTGACAGCGCTCACGGAACAATTCACAACCTGTACTACAAGGATACGGAATATTCCCCGGGCGGTGTCTGAGCAGAGCAGGCAAGCCAAACAACTTGTAAGTCCTTCAGAGAGCGGTCGAGTTCCCCTCTGGGATTTTATCAGATTTCCTCCACTAACCCAACTGCCCAGAAGAAAAAAAATACCCTGACCTAACGGCCAGAACGTGGGATCTGTGCGCACAGGGTCCGGGCTGCAAACAAAAGAAAATACCAAAAAACAAACAAACAAAAAAAAACCTGTTGCCCTTGAGTGGATTCCGACTCACAGCGACCCTATAGGACAGAGTAGAACTCCTCCATAGGGTTTCCAAGGAGTGGCTGGTGGAGTCGAACTGCCGACCTTTCGGTTAACCGCTGCGTTCTTAACCACTGTTCGTCAAAGCCCTTCCATCACCGCGTATCAACGCAGCCACTGGGGCACTGACAACAATGGAGGCCTGCGGTCAGTACACAGACATGGGGGCCACAGGAAGCTGACGCCCCATCTTGGGGCTGGGCAGAGGGGGCAAAAGCAGGGACTTGGGAGGTAGACTGTGAGATCCAAGCCTGGTCTGGCTACCTCCCTCCTTGCAATGTGGCCTTGGCCGTGTTACACTGTCTGTAAATCTCAGCTTCCCCTTCTCTAAAGTGGGGTGACAAATTCTTGTCTCTTAGGTTTGTTATAAGCATGAAAATGAGAGAAATGAAAGACATTTTGTCTAGCCCGTGGCTGCCTGAACGACAGTGAACAAGTCATTTTCCCTCTCTGGGCCTCAGTTTGCTCATCTGTAAAATGAGACAGTTGAACTAGAGAAAGTCCTCGAGCTTGAGGGACCATGTATTCCTGAGTTTTCTCGTCTCCACTGTGCCTAAGATAGGTGAGGAACTCATTACATTGTCCTTAATGAACCAGCGCTACAGATGATTCATTCAACAGGTTGTTACTGAGCACCTGCTGTATACCAGGGAGGCACTAGACTCTGGAATCCTAAAATGAGTAAGACACATCCTTGCTTTCCAGCTGCTCAGCACGAGCAGGGCTGTTAAGCATTCAGAGGAAGAAGAGAGAGAAGTTACCAGGCTGGAGCAGACAGAAAAAGTCTCTCTGAAAAGGTGGTGGCTTTTAAACTAATTCTGGAGGATGGGTAGCAGTTAGATAGAAACAAGGGGGATTGTATGGGCCAAGGAAAGAAAAGGGAATGTTTGATGGTGGTTGGATAGTAGGTTCATTTGGAGGTGAGCTGGGACATGAGACTGGAAAGGTGGGTTAGGCCCGTATGATGAAGAGCACTGAATTCCAGGCTCGGATGTTCAGACCTTCCTGTGTGGTTTGCAGCCATCCTTTTCTTGTCTCTCCACTTCTTCCCCCTGCCCCATTCGCCGAGGGCTGTACTCAGAAGTCAATGCTTGTGGCGTCTACATGTGGAAATGAAGCTGTACAGACCAGGTTTTAAAATCGCTTGGTACACACCACTGATCACCAGATTGGTGGGTTAACATGGCAAGGCCCTGGATTGAATCATTTCCATTTTTCACCCCTGTGGAGATCCTGCCCCATGGATAGCCTGACAACCAGGCCTGACCCAGCTTCACGGACCATGCAACCCATGACCTCCCTGTCGTCAAGGACTAACCAACCGGTTGCTGTCAAGCTGATTCCGACTCATGGTAACCCCATGTGTTACGGAGTAGAACTGCATGCACTCCATAGGGGTTTCAAGGCTGTGACTGTCCGGAAGCAGATCACCAGGCCTTTCTTCCGAGGTGGCTCTGGGTGGGTTCAGACTGCCAACCTTTCAGTTAGTAGCTGCGTGCTTTTGCCACCCAGGGACTCCTTCATCAAGGCCTAGGACAAGTGAAACACCATGACGTTAACTCGAATTGTTTTGTACTGAACATGCCTCACAGTCCCTGGCCTTTTATTCCCTCTGCTGGGGTGAGGGGTGGGTTGGACAGTGATGTGCTATAGTGTGTATCTCAGCTCCCCAGCTGATTGGCCAAGACTCAGGGCAGAGCCACAGGCTAACCAGGGCCCTGGTGTTGTGGCCTGTCTGAGCTGGGCCACTCAGCTTCTTTCTTGCTGCAGTGTGAAGTAAGGCAGGTGGCAAAGACCAATCAGTTAACTGTGGGTGCTGAAACAAGAAGCGTTCACAGTGTTGGGCTGGAGATACCATGTGTGAGGGCTATCAAGGACATTCACGAATATTTGGGTTCTCTCTCCAGTTGGGTTCTTGGCAGGATTGCCCTCTCCCACCCAATTAAATTGTTGTTGTTAGGTGCTGTCAAGTTGGTTCCGACTCATAGTGACCCGATATACCACGGAACAAAACACTGCCCCGGTCCTGCGCCATCCTCACAATTGTGGCTATGTTTGAGCCGATTGTTGGAGCCACTGTGTGAGTCCGTCTCATTGAGGGTCTTTCTCTTTTTCAGTGCTTTGGTCAAGGGAATGTGAGAAGATGTGACTTAGGGTGCCTCACCTCATTCACTTTTCAAGATTGTGGCTTCTCCGTCATCCTGGGTTCCCAAGTGACTATGTTACATAACCCTTGATGGACATGTAGCAAGATTGAGATATAAACGTTTGTTGTTTTAGGCCACTGAGAGCTGGAGGTTGAGGCATAACTAGCTTCTCCTGACTAATACACCACAACGGGCTATGTATTATCTAAGTTGTGAGGAAGCAGAGAAGTCTGGTTATAGAAAAAGGAGAATGGAGCAGACATATCAAGATAAACAGAAGCACCATGGAGGGGAAGAGACTAGGAGAATATGACCGAGTTTCAGTTCCGGGAGTCCTTATAATAACCCTTTTTATTTCCGGAGGTTACTTGAAAGAGTCTCTGTTCCTCAGAAGTAAAAAAGCTGACCAAATCATGGTGGTGTGGAAGCCTGCAGGTCTGTCTTAGACAGGGTTCTCTAGAGAAACAGAACCAGTAAGATATATATAATTTTTTTTTTTTTTTAAGGAATTGGTCATGTGATTGTGGAAGTCTGGCAAGTTCAAAATCTGTAGGTCAGGCACAGGCTGGAGATTCCTGTAGGTTTGTGTCCCAAACTCTGTAGGTCAGGCAATGGGAAGAGTGAAGAGAGCGGGAGTTCTGGAAAAATGTCGGCTTATAGTCTGGAGGCAGAACACACCGTAGGGAAAACTCCCTTTTTACTCTTAAGGCCTTCAACTTCAACTTAAGGCGCTCTGATTTCATCACACGTGACCACAGTGAAACCTGTCGCAGCCGGAACCTGACAGGACCGCCTTGTTTCTCTGGGTCTTGTAAGTTTTCCGCCTTTGACAGGGTGCAGCCTTACCACTTTTCTATCATTGCCTATCAGTGGAAAATATTTGAGTTTTCCTTCTCGGTCAGGTTCCCACTGTACACGGGTTCCAGTTTTCGCGGTTGTACTGTATTTCATAACAGTATCTTGACAAGTGTTGAACCCAACAACTGGGCACCATAGCCCAGCCAAGTTGACATACAGAATTAACCATCGCAACATCTTTGGCCCAGAGCGTCTTTGTGAACACCAAGAAAGTGCCCTGAATTTCCCAATTTCTCTCGTGCTTGGCATTCAGTAAGTTCTGAACAAGCATTTGTTGAATGAATATTTATTGGATATTGGCAAAACAAGGAAGGAGGAGAAACAGTAGCCAGAAAGGAAAGTAACAAAACTAGGCTCAAAAGACCTTATTGAAATTCAAAGTATGGGC